AAGAGACATTCCCTCTCCTCTCAGAGAGGGAGGAAGCGTTTAACCACCTGGACTGAGCCACAGGTAGAGGCAGAAAGCCCCGTGAGGCTACAGAGAAAATGGGCAGAAGGAAAAGATCCAGAAGAGTTGACAAGGGCAACTCAATCAGGTATCCTGGAATTTCAGGGCATATAATGTTTCACTGATCTCTACACAACTTTAAATTAGAACTCTGGAGAGGAATGTGGATTTTTTTGTTGTTATTACTAAAAATAATTGTTTCCTGTCATACCCAAATCTGTGAAAAAAATCTGTGTATGAATTCTATTTTTTAAAAAAATTATGACACGTCGGTTGCAAACTGCCTACTCAACAGCCATTCTCCCTCACCAAAACCCCAATATTATGGCTATGGCAACGAGGTCTCTGGCTACTGTTTTCCTCATAAGGAACAAACTTAGTGGACACGCACCTTGAACTCTTCAACTATGGCCCCTCTCCCTACCCAGAATGCAGATCTGATCCTTGTGGAACAACCAGCCATCTTACAACTATGGCAGCAAGTCACAAGCTCCAGATGGCAGAGGAGGAGGCTAGAAGGGGCCAGGGTAATGCAGGATATTGCCCAGTGACGGCACCTGCTTACTCTGCCCTCCACTGGATTTCCTGCTGTTAGAAAAATCATGCCTAGGGGCACCTGGGCGGCACATTCGGTTAAGCATCCAACTCTGGGTTTTGGCTCAGGTCATGATCTCAGCGTCCTAGGATCGAGCCTGGGCAGCAGGCCCCACACTCAGCGCAGAGTCCGCTTGGGATTCTCTCTCCCCTCTCCCTCTGTCCCTCCCCCTGCTCTCTCGCTCTCTGAAATAAATAAATCTTTTTAAAAAATCATGCCTGCTTGATTCAAAAACTGGGATCAAATTTCTGATGCATGTGGCCAAATTCAATACTATAGATACACGAGGATGCCTGAAAATCAATCCATCCTCAAAGACCAGGAGTTCTAAACTTAAATGGAAATAGGAGAAGGCAGATCAAATGTGAGTCAATCTGACAGGTGTATGAAAGGAAGGCGTGGCAAACTGCACCAGGTAGGCCTCATGTAAGCAAGCCCCATTACCAGTTCCACCCAGCTCCGGCCAACTGGCACCCTGGGAGCAGGGGGGGGGGGTGCCAGCCCAGCATTCCCACTGTGCCAGAACTTCTGATTTTAAAGAGAAGCCCAGAATTGGGATTTTCACATCAAGTTTCCTAATTTATAAATAACAACCGAATTTTAGAAGTTTTAACTCTATGTGGATCAAACAAGACATCACTACAGGCAACATTCAACCTGAAGGCTACCAGTTTTCAACCTTAGTAGAGAGGGTTAAGGCAAAATAAAAAGACCATCCAAGTTCTACAGAAGTAATAACGATCAGCAACATACTGGGCGCTATGTGCCAGGCTGTGTGAAGGGCTTTACATCGATTATCTCATTTTTTCTTTTTAGCCACCTACGGAGTATGCGATATTACTATCCCTGCCTTACCCATGAGGAAACTGAGGCTGAGTGAGGTGAAGCTGTACTGCTCCTGGGGCCCCTGGGTGGCGCAGTCAGTTAGGCGTCCGGCTCTTGGTTTTGGCTCAGGTCATGATCTCAGGGTTGTGAGATCGACCACGTGGGGCTCCATGCTCAGTGGGGAGTCTGCTCGAGATTCTCTCTCTCCCTCTGCCCCCGCCCTGCTCCCACTCATCACATAAATAAATAAAATCTTGGGGAAAAAAAAAAAAAAAGAAGGCGGGGATAAAAGAGGTTAAATAACTTGCTGAGTCCTAGCGTTCATGTGTAGCAGAGCCAGGATTTCAACCCAGGACTGTGCTCTTACCCATTCTTCATAAAGAATGCCCCCTGCGCCCAGGAGGCACAAACACTGCTTTGGATCACTACTGGTCTACCTATGGGTAAATGAGTCAGAGCTCTCCAAGAGACCTCCAAGTCAGTTTGACAGGAGACCCCGGCTCACGTCCTCCTACGTGGCTGCCCTTCAGTAAAAAAGGCAAAGCACTGTCCAGTCCTCGTCTATCTGCAAGTTTCCTGAAGGAATGCACATGTGTGTAGTGTTGTCAAATGCATCTCTCTCTTAATCCCCACAGCAACCCAGTGGCACTGTTACCACGACTTGACAGACAGTGAAACGGAGGATTAGAGAGATTAGCGGACTTGTTCAAGATCCAGGCAGTTAGCAGAGCCGGGTCTCCAGCCCCGGTTATCTGGTGCCAGGCCCTGTGTTCTTTCTACTCAAGCACACTGCCTCTGTGCTTCCTCCAGCAGAACGCCCAACTCCGCCACCTCACCTCCAACCGAACATTCCTACTTAACTCTACAGTCATTCCAGGATGTCTGACGGCCCCCAGGTGCCATGTTTACGTTTTCAGCGATAGCTTCATCCTAGAATCTAGTCAGCCAGGGAACAAAAATAAATACGTCAGGTCATACACTCAGAATTGGAATGTAAATGGGCACGCACAAAAGTCTCGGGATCTAATTTTACAAAGAAACAGCCAGAAAGTTCCACACGGCACAGGGAGCACCTGCCCCCGGGGGAGGCTGCCCACGCTGCTTTAAACCTCAGTCAACCCAGGGAGAGAAGGAATCCTGGAATTCTGACCAGCATGTCATTGCCAGAGGCACCAGCTGGGTGAAGAACAGAATGACTTTTCCTCATGTTCTCCCAGAAAAATGCTAAGGCCCAGAGGTAAATGTCCCTGGGGGATCATCCTTCCAGAAAGGATGAAACCCTGAAAAGTTCATCACAGTCTGTGCCTTTGAAGTTAGCCGCTCACAGTCCTGACTCTCACCTGGGAGCCAAGGGGAAAGCGATGGGGGGGTGAACAATGCCTACTGACCCCAGCCTAGAAGCAGATTTGGTGTGGGGGTTACACAGAGCCTCAAGGCCATCAGGTCATTCCAGGATATTCTGGCCCACCACAGGCCCATCACCTAACCACTACAGGTGGCTAGAACCTGCTTCACAATTAAGCAGACATGTGACTGGTCTTTCTGGCTGCCAGTGATCACAGGAGTAAAAGCTCCATTATGGCAGGAAATTTTATCTCTTTTGTTCACTGAAATATGCCAACCCTCTGCAAAGGCGCCCGACACATAATAAACTTTAATAACTATTTGTTGAAGAAATGAATAAATGATTTGCTATTGGGATGGATCTTCCTAGACCCACAGTCTAAAGTGGCCAGAGGTCAAGAGGAGAGTCCATTAACCCAGTCATCTGCTTGCCCGTTTTCTCTTAGCCAACATACACTACTGCAGTTCAAGGTCCCTCAGACCCAGGGTTGGGTATGATATGTGTTCTCTCACCATCTTCCTCCATTATACCACCGCCCCCCTTCCCTGGGCCTCCAGTGCACCACTCTATCTATGTACCCACCCCCCATCCTGCAACACTCCTCCTCAGCCTGTGACGGCCCTCATAACACACGGTGTACCTCACTGGTCCCCCCAACAACCCTGCACTGTCCACCTCATGCCTGTGCTGGGCATAGTGAGTGACACCCGGCCTTCCAAAGCTCCCACCTTATGAGGGGGCCAGTCATGGAAACAATGAGAATATAACGTAATAAGCACCATAATGCAAGTGCTGTGGCCAAAGTCACAAACTGACCACCCTCAGGCCTATGATGTTTTAATTGTTATAATTAATTGCTAACCTATAGAAATGTGCTGCTTTCTCACAAAATCTTCAACTGTCAGCATCTCGCGGAAAATCAGAGGATCTGGCAATACTGGGCCTGTAGTCCCCACAGCATCAGTCAGCTTCAGCTAGGCAGCGGTTTCCTCTTTACAGGGAACATGTGGCCTCTGGTTTCCACAACCCGTCTCCCCCGTCTCCCTACAGTCTCCAGCCAACGAGGCCACGGGCCAGCCACCAGTTCCTCTGTACTGGAATGACTGTTACCTTAGAGTAATGATACTCTGTACCCACATTTCTACAGGAAGTGAGAAAGTAAAAGATAAATCGAAAGGGCCATGTGGACTGCTCACAGAAATGCTGGAGAACTTGCTTCCCAGGAAAGTGAAGAATATTCCTACATACGTGATACTGTAAGTAAGTGTGCCTGTGTCTTGTCCCTGGCGTGCTTTGCTCATGCACCTGCCTAGCTCGTTAGGCTTCTCAGTGTAGATCCCCTCATCGATTTTAAACCTACTATGGCCAATGAACTAGGTAACTGAGACGGCAGGTTTCCTGCTGGGTGGGAAGTCACTGTCTAGTGGGGCCAGACAGATACATACAAAGACATTTCGCATACAGTGTGAGAACATACAGAAGTCCTATAATAGGTAGTATGGGCACCGAAAAGAAGGAGCCCTAAGCTGGCCTGGGGAAGTTAGGAAGAGCTCACAGAGGGATCATCCCGAAATGGATTCTTGAAAAGAGCAAAGTTTATTCAAGTGGACAGCGGAAGATGCAAAGGGGCTCTGAGTGAACTGCCAAAAATAGTGCCCTGGTATGAAAAGTGTTGCTCATCGGGATTACCCACCCTCCACGGAGCAGCTGGATAAATTCCCACAGTTCCAGGCCACTCAGAAAAGTTTCCAGGAAAGTAAGGCCAGCACTAATCCCCTTCCTGCCCGAAAACTGTAGCAAGTGCAGGTCACCACTGAGAGCAAACGTCCAGTTGTGTAATCCAACCTTACGTCACCAGCAGGGCTCACTGGCATTGATTCGGCAGAAATAAAAACCTGGATTTCCACCGGATTTTGAAACTTCCCGGTCCCCTGCTTCAGCGAACTTAAGAATGTTCTTCACTGAGAATATAAAGCAATACACAGAAACTACTCTGGCATCAAAGAAAAAACGTTCTGCTTTCACTTCTTGCTAATAGGACAAATGCCAAGGAAGGGAATTTCCAAATCAAGATAGGACGAAGGGCTGACATTGGAGAGAAGAAATATGAAATACCAAATCCTTGCTCTTTAAGTAATTACTAACTCTTAGAAAGCATTTTTTTTTAACACCCACCTCTCCAGTCGGAATTGAAGAGGAGTTCTTGCTACTGAGAGGATTCTCGACTTGAGCTGACTCCTGTTGAGCTCGGCGACCCATCTTGGGTCCCTGTAAAGAGAAATGAGGAACGCTGCTGACCCAAACATCTTTGAGCCACTATGAGGATGAGAATTCTGGGATGGTAAGCAAGGGCAGGATTTATGATGACATGGTGGAGGATGGGATTTGAGTAACTTGAACGTATGTTTTCAAAAATGCTTCACACACTTAAAACAAAGTACCTGAGGCCATTTCTATTCGAGAGGAAAACACGAAATTCCTGGATTAATGATCATAGGTTTCTCTTTTAACTGCCACAGATCTTTCCTACCCAAAGAAATGCACACAGACACTCCTCTAGAATGAACAGAGACCTCATGCCAAAGCTCAGGGAAGAAGGTGGTAAAGGCTCTCATGTTCCTATGCAGGATTCTAGAAAGGCCTCATTTCAAAGCTGCAGCTTGGCATGAAATTGTTATCAAAAAGACTTTGGGGTGGGCGCCTGGGTGGCTCAGTCGTTAAGCGTCTGCCTTCGGCTCAGGTCATGATCCCAGGGTCCTGGGATCGAGTCCCAC